AGGGGGGGGGCTCGGCGGCGTCGGTAGGTTCCATCCAGCCCGGGGCTCTCCCCCTCCTGATTGCGTTTTATTTGGGTTAATTTAACAACCCGGGGGGCGGGAGAGAAAAATCTGGAGCGGGTGGTAAAGGGGGCGGCCGGCGGGTTGCCAGCCCGGTTGCCATCCCGCTGCCGGAGGTGGCCGGTGCCCGGTACCGGGGCTCTCCCGGCGGAGCCGCGCTTCCCCCCTTAATCTTAGCACCTGAGAATAATTATCATTTTATGGGAGATTTATTTTAGCCACATCCTAAAATCAATCACAAATTAAACAATCTAATAAAGTACAGGGTAGGTTAACTTACAATTGCCTAGGGCAGAGCCTCTTGTACTTCTGAAGCAGTTGGTTTTGGCTGCTGTTCAAACAGCATCCTGGACAAGTTTGATTGTATCTAGCAAAATATCATTCACTTTTTTTTTTTTTTTACCCCCTTTTATCCTTAAAAAAAAAATAATTGATTTTTAAAATTTTTTATTATTATCATTATTTTATTTATTTCATTTTGGGAAGAAGTTTGCTGCAAAACAAAAGCGGGGCGAGGGGGCAGAGGCCGGGCTGCCCTCCCTGCCGGAGCCGCCCGGGGCCGGGGCCGGCGCTGGCGGCTCCGTCCGTTCCCGCCGCCGGTTCCTCCGCTCCCCGCTTTCTTCTTTCTTTCTTTTTTTTTTTTAATTTATTTTTTTTTTTGTCCCCCTCTCCCCTTAAACCGGCTTTCACAGCAGCTGCCCGGGTGTGCGGCTGCAGTTGGCATATTTCACGCGTTGGAAAAAAAAAAAAAAAGAAAAAAATTAACTGTTTTTCCTTTGTATCTTAATCCAGTGATGAGAGCTCTCCTTTGTTGGCTTTCGAGCTTGCATTTGTTTTATTTATTATAAGGAAATCCAGTTTGGTTCAAATATATAATCCATTTGAGCACTTAAATCCCCAAACAGCTGGCATTATTTTGTTTTATAATCTTTGGCTTTTCTGTGCAGAGCATATTTCTAAATTCCTACTTGACATTTATGGGGAAAAAACTTTTTAATGTAAATGGATATTGTGATTTTTTTCTGGGTCTTTCCTAATTTACATGTATCATCAATTTTCCTGGATTTCCGATTGTTTTAATCTTTTTTTCCCCCCCTAGCTTGTTAATTAATTTTTTTTTTTCCCCCAGAAAACTTTGTTTCTGCAGGGAGAAAAATGTTAATTTGCCCCATTATTTTAATCTCTGGCATTTGGAAATGGTTGAGAGACCACAAAAATGCAACCTGTTGTAGAAACCAGCGTGGTGTGCTTTATTTATTTTAATCGATAGCAGAGAGGTGATTTAGTAATAGGAACTCCGAGGAACATTTTAGGAATCTGGTGGCTGCGTTTGGGGTGTGCATGTGCTTGCAGACGTGCGTGTTTCTCTGCAGGCTGATTAGGGAGTGGGTTTTACCCTCATAACCAGTGGCCACTGCTGTTTTCTCCACTTGCTGGGTGTTTGTGATGCCAGCTCAATCCAGCTCTGTCATGGCTTCTCCTACTTCTATCAGACTTTTCTCTTAACTAATTCAGCACGGGGCTACAACCTCCGTAAGGAGAGGAACCAAAACTGAGCCAGAGATAACTGATTACAACTTGTTCCTGGGTGAGAGATTTTTTTTTTTTTTTTATGGTTCAGAGCTAAAGGCTGTTGATTCAATTTGTCTTGGCTGTGGCGTGTGTAGCCTTGCTATTAGTAACGTACATGATTATGCAGGTAATTTGTATACACCTTCTACACAGAGTGGCTCTAAAAACCGATAACTCTGCATATGGGGAGCCATGGAAAAAAAAGAAATTAAGAAAAAAATGAGAGTTTGTTTTCAGTCTGTCCGTCTAACCTTCATACTTGGTAGACAGTTTATGTAGCTTCCTAGATTGATCTCCACCCCCCCTCCTTCTACTCCTTGTTTAGTTAATTCAACAAAGACTTTTTGCAATCTGTTTGGAGTTTGTCTGATGCCGTGGAAAAGTAGCTGCTGATTTATTTGGTTGCTTTTCGATTTCTGTCTCTAGCCCGTCTTTTCTCCTCCTTTCAGCGGGGATGTCAGCTGTTATTACTTCCTATTGATCCCTTTGCAAAGTGAGAAGTGAACTAAAATTAATGTCAATTCCACTGCTCGGATCAATAGCTGGAGTTATTTTAATCTGGATTTGCGCGAGGTGCTAAATTAAAAAAAATCAGCATAGAGGCAGAAAAGTAGCAGTTCCTCACTCTGCCTGTGCCCACTGCCTTCCCGGCACCCAAATGTTCCCTCCAGCTGATTACCCTGCAATCCATATTTTTTTAATTAAGAAGGTCAGTTAGTTTTCTTATTTTTGGGTTCTGTATTTAAACCTATGACATTTTGACATTGGGAGTGTATTAACGATAGATTTTCATAATGACTGGTCCGCTGCAGTCTAATCGGTCCCTGTTGCTGGGGGTGGGGAGGTGCTGGGCGAGAAGGGAGCAAGGGAGAACGAAAAAGGAAGTGGGAGCTGAAAAAAAATTAAATTTGGCTGGCCCAGATATTGTAATGTGTTGATTTATTCCCAGCGTAATGAAGTTTGCAAACGAATAAAGGGCCACAGTGATTCACAGTATCCTACAGGAGTGTCAAGTGTTGTGGCCAGATTACTAATTTATGAAATACATTTAACGTAATGGGGTGGGAGCACAAGTAAAAATAGAAAAGGAGGCAGAGGTGGTTGCTTTTTCCACACACACCCCCCCCGCCCCGGCCCCTGGAAATCAGTGTTTTCCCATGATTGCTCAGTTTCGCTTCCATGTTAACGATTGTTTATTTCTGAGAATGGTGGCTTGTTTGCATGCATCTCTTTAGATACACAATCATATGTGTGTGTACATATATAGATATATATTTACACGGTTGCGTAAGCCCCCAGCAACTCCAGATTTGCCAGTGGCTGCAGTTTCCTACCCTCCAGCTTTCCACCAGCCTGGCGGGCAGCGGAGGAGCGAGCGTGCCCAGGAGTGCAGTGCTGACCAGGATGCCCTTGGCATCCCCCTCTCTCCCTCTGCCCCTCGCTCGCCGTGGCGAGAACTCGACGGGCAAGTTATTTAAAATTTGGAAGAGAGCGACTCCGTTAATGCGAGATACATAATCTGGTAATTTAGCAATGATGTCTGTAAGGACGGGTGCCAAATGAGGAAGCGGAGAGATGATGTCCACTCATCTTCACAATTAATAACAGTCAGCGGAGCGGCTGGGTACAGGATGGGAGAGAGGAAATGTTATCACTGAACTGCATTAAAGCCACAGACTGGATTTCATACACTTTGTTAACCTAGGCTCCCTCATTCATGGAGTACAAAAGGCACTCCATTAGGGAGACACTCTTTCACTAAGTTTTATTTGAGATGTTTGACCCTCTGGATTTAAGAGGCACAATTTGTAACAGCTTTTTATTATTATATGATTTTTCTGGCCCTTTGAGCTCCGGCGGCTAGTATATTGTTTCAAAGTTATAGTCCTTGTATTTTAAGCTGGGCTGTGGGGCCTGAATGGCAGGCGGCGGAAGCTTAAAAGAAAAGACACGAGATTGATTGGGGGGAGAAAATAACAACACAAAAAGCCGGAGCGAACCGGGGGAGATAGAGAAAAGGAGCGTTTTCCCTTCTTTCAGCCTGGGAGGGGGTTGTGGCTGGCTGGGTGGCTGCAGCCAACCTGGGAGGCTCGGCGAGATGCGAGGCAGAAATTTGGTTAACATTTTCCTCTAAATGTTAATGGCACATCCAGGGCAGTTTACAAATCTACTTAAGAGTGAGTGCATTAGGAACTAAAATTACTGATCCATTCTCTCTTGTCCCCGACCCGAAAGGCAGACGCTTGCAGAGATCAGATGGCAGAAGCACCCATTATGATTTTAAATATTGTCAGAGACGCCAGGCGTTTTACTGGGGAAGTCTCTTCTCCTGTGGCTAGCAGGGACCCTGTGTGCACGCGTGGGGGTTTGTGGTGCACACACGCACCCGTGCACAGTCACATTCCAGCAGTGTGTGAATATATATATGATGGTAACAAGTATTGTGTGTGAGAGTACTTACCTACCCTTATATACTGTGAGAGTGAGAGAAAATACGTGTCTGTTTTGTATGTCTTAGGCATCGTGTATGGTATAACCACGTAGACTGGTTTATTTGGGTAACTATGTACAATAGATAATTTTATGTCAGTTCCACGCCCCCCACCCCCCCAAGCAAATAGCAGTGTGTGTGTACGTGTGGGCTTTCTTAAGTTTACTGCAATTATATGTACATGCCTCTTGTACCATATAAAATTCCAATTATGATTTGGAGTTACTATCTTAATTTTAGACTGAACCTTGTTTATTAGTGGGTTATTAAATCTGCATGTTATTACATTTGGTTTGCCTTTCATTCATCTGCGCTGGATGATACCCTTTAACCTGGAGGGCCAGAGCTGATTCCACCAGTGTGTGAAGTTGTCTATTGATTTTCTTGAATGAGAACAGTGGTGCGTCTCCGGCCGGTGGGTTGTAGCACATGTGGCCACCCTGCTGCTGGAGCGTCCCGGGGAGGTGAGCGCAGAAATCTAACCGCTTGTGCTTTTTCTTTTCTTTTCTGTTTCCTTGCAGCTTTCGGAGGGTGATGATGCTCCAGTAATTTCCCCCGCTCCATTCCCAGGCATCGCTTTGCTTTCCGTCCAGGGAAGATCGTTCCGCTTGTGATCCTGCTGAGGAAAGAGACTCCGATGGACTTACACCGGGCCGCGTTCAAGATGGAGAACTCACCCTACCTCCCCAACCCCCTGGCCTCCCCGGCGCTGATGGTTCTTGCCTCCACCGCCGAAGCCAGCCGTGACGCTTCCATTCCCTGCCAGCAGCCGAGGCCTTTTGGGGTCCCTGTGTCAGCAGATAAGGACGTGCATATTCCCTTTACCAATGGCTCATACACTTTTGCCTCCATGTATCACCGGCAAGGCGGGGTGCCGGGAGCGTTTGCGAACCGTGACTTTCCTCCATCCTTGCTTCACCTCCACCCCCAGTTTGCGCCCCCCAACCTGGACTGCACCCCGATCAGTATGTTGAACCACAGCGGCGTGGGGGCTTTCCGCCCCTTTGCCTCTACCGAAGACCGGGAGAGCTACCAGTCAGCCTTTACGCCGGCCAAGCGCCTGAAGAACTGCCATGACACTGACTCACCCCATCTGCGCTTCTCGGACGCCGATGGGAAGGAGTACGAGTTTGGCACACAGCTCCCCTCCAGCTCCCCCGGCTCCCTCAAAGTTGATGATACGGGGAAGAAGATCTTTGCCGTTTCTGGCCTCATTTCCGACCGGGAGACCTCATCCAGTCCCGAAGACCGAAGTGACAGATGTAAGTACCTCCGTTGACTTGTTGGTTCCTCTTCAGTTGCGCCTGGTTGAGACACTCAACAGGTGAATGTCCCGCAGTGCTGTGGTTCTCGCTGAGGGCAGAGGAAAACCAGCCTTTCCTGCCTGCCAAGCTCAGCCATGCAGTAGTGCCTTGTCTCTTCTAAGTGGACATTGACAGATTTTAAGGTGAGATGCTCTTGAAGGAAACTTGTCTTCCAGCACGCAGCTGGAGAGACAAGGTCAACCATGCAGAAAGGTGTCCGTGCCCCAGTGCGAGGCTATAGATGCTGGTACATACGTGTGCAAACAGGGATTCTGTGTGTGTGAACAGGGATTCAGCTGGAGCATGTAGCCAGAAACTTTCCCAGAGCTTTCAGCAGGCATGTACCCCCTGCTTCTTCGGGTATTTCTTTCTGACCTTTTCTTCATGCACACCTTTCTTAGAGCATCACCTTCAGGATTTGTGCCTCAGGTTAGGACAAAAGTGTCTTTTCCTGTGGTTAACTTCAGAATATTTCTGTCCACCGAGTTCCCTTCTTCGAGACGTAAACCCGAATCCCTCCTTGCGATTCAATAAGCTGTTGCACCATGTCCTGTCCCTGAGTGCTTCCCTCCTTTGGCGCCTGTTGCGATGTGCCCTTTTGCAGGTCGGTGGTTGGGCTGAAGGAAACCAGTCGGCATGTTCATGGCTGTAACCCCCTGCTCCCCCATCTCCTTGTCCCTCGCAGTGTGTCGCCTAGACCGAGGGACAGAGCTGTTCTCCGGGAAGGGCAGGCTTCCAGCCCTGCTGAGCAGGGAGGTGGCCCGTGATGGGGAGTGGTCTGGGGGTGGCAGAGCCTGGTACCCCGAAGCAGAGCGCTAACTTATGATTAGAGTTTTCCTGTAAACCCAGATGTGCAGACCAAGGAGCGAGGGGTTTGCTCTTCACGTGGGCTCCTTTGTTCTGTTGCATTTTCTTCCTAGAAAACAATTTTATTACTGTTGTTGTTGTGATTATTACTGTATTTTATTTTATTTTTTTTGCAAGGAAAACCTGCTGCCCCGCTCCTTCCTCTCCCTTTCAGACGTGATTTTTCTTCTCCTCTTTATGATGCCGAGGAGAGTAATAGAGACATTGCGGCTCTCTCTCCCCTGTCGGTGCTGCTTCCTCAGGCTGTCTCCTTGAATTAGGCACTGTGCTAACTTACTGGCGCTAAAAGGCATCTGCCTAAACCCAGCGTACCTTTTCAATAAAAGTCATCATAAAATCAACCTGCCTTGTAAATCCATCACTCTTTGGTTTTGAAATATGCTGCAAGTGTGTCTTTTATGTCGGCGGTTGCGAGGGTAGGACGATTCCCACCGAAGGCAGAAGCCACGTATTCCTTGCGCTACGAATGTGATCTCTTATCTGTCTCCCCCCTCTCCTTCTCATCCACCCCCGACCGTGCCACTTTTTGTGCCGTAAGCTCCTTTCATTGTTCAGCATCTCCTCGCCCTCCTTTTGGGTCCATAAGGGAAGCGGCTGTAGGTGGGAACACGTATGGATGTGGATGTGTGTAAGCTGGCAATATAATTATCCGGGGAGGGGGTGTGTGTGTGGGGGGTCAGGCAGGTGAGATGGCAAGGCTTAGAGACATCTTTGTCGATGCTCTTCCCCTTATCAATAACCTGGCTGGGGAAATGAAGCTCGCTCCAAAGAGTACTCGGGGAGATAGCGGTGGAGGAGCGGAGTCCGCCGGCTAAATGAATTTAGAGCGCATCAGCTGCGATGGATCTCGCTAGCAAAATCCTGTCAGATACCCCATTTAAAGAAGTAAATCTGTTTAATGAATTAGACCACACGGAGCGCAGCTGCGGACGGACAGACACATCCCCGTCCGCTGCCGTGCCTTTGCCTTTGCCAACAGCCGGTGCTGAGCCTGGAGGGTCCCCTCCTTCCCGGGAGCAGACGGGGGGTGCCAGAGGCAGGCGGGGGGACACCCGGTGCCCGTCAGCGCTGCATCAGGGGATGTGCTGGGGAAAGGAAGCAGAATAAAAACTTTGCAGGCAGCTTGGAAAACTTGGGCAGAAGTGGAAGGTGTTTTTTCCTATTGTTTTTCTTGCCCGTATTGTTAAGTTTCTCTGAGACGCTTGGCTGCAGGGTTGAGCCCAGCAAACGCCACGTCCCTGATATCGCATCGACATTAAAATTCTTCTGTAACTACCAGGACAGCGCACACTAAATATGTCTGTTGGCTCTGTATCATATTCCCATCACATATAGATACTGCGCCATGGAAACTTCGCCCCATTAGCACGGCGAGTTTATTTGGTGTGTGCACACACACGCATGGGCGTGTTTGCTGGAGGCCGAGAGAGCAAGCGCAGGAGCTTTTTAGAGGATCCTAATGGTCTTTGATGTTGACCATTAGAAAAGAAAAACTTCCGCAAGGAGGAATTGGAGAGATCACAGTTTGCAGATATAATCGCGGTCCTGTTCTGCATTGACATTTGCATACATATATTTGGAGTTTCTATATGAATGCCTCCTGTGGGGAGGGGGTTGTGATTGTCTCTTATTATTGGCGCCTGAGAAGTTTTGGGGTTCCCTTGTGTAATTGTTAAATATAGCCCTTCTTAAAACTGCCTACTTGTGCTCCTGACGGAGAATCTGTTGCAGGTAGGTGGCTGTAGATTCTAAGCAAACACGTAACACGGCTTTTCTACAACAGCAAGCAAAAACTGCAAGATTTTCTTAGAGCAGCAGCACCTTTCTGTGTCTAACGGGTGCTTTTCAGATTTGCAGAGCTCAGTCCTCTAGCTGTATTTTTCAGATTCCTGAAAGGGTTTGTGTTACATGGAAGGTGAATTGCTGTGAGTGCACTGCATATTCTTCTGTACCACTGCACAAGAACCTTTTTTGAATAGCTCATTTGAACGTTTGTTTTACCTCATAGCTTAAATGGTGATTTTCTAAGAAACTTGTTTGTTGTTTGGTTTTGGTTTGGTTTTTTTTTAATGAAAAAGGAATTCGATGTACTGAGTTTTAATTTTCCTGAAAAATTGATTTACGCTTGAGATACTTTGCAGCAAAACAAGAATCCAAAGTCAGGCATTTTCATCTCAAGGAGTGTTTGGAAGCCGCTCTATTTAGTCCTCTGCATCATGGGAGCAAAGTCTCACCCTCTTTTCACCAGTGAAGGAAATTTGCAGAATTCAGTAAAATTATTCGGGATATGTGTTAGAGTAACCCAGATTATCACCTGGCCCTGCAAGATATGTATTTGTGAGGCAGAGTAGTCTTTTGGGTGAAGGTTTCCTGACTTTTACCAGCAGGGTGTTGCCTGCCAGCGGTACCCACGCTGTGCATCCCGGGAAGGGAGAGCATCTCCTGGGGGGCGCATCCGGGTGGGATTGCTCTCCCTGTTACTCAGCAAATTGGGCTGAGACATCTGCGTTTGGGCAAGTCGTCTCTTGCTGTAAAACGCAGGTTCTCAGGACATCCGGAGCGATGGAGCGTACGGGGAGCACGTGGAAAAGTGGAGCCTTTCCAGGGAGAAGCAGACGTAACGTGTACTGGATGGGGCCGTTTTCTTAGACGCTTACTGAGAAAAATAATGCCATTTGTTAGAGTTTAGGGGCTTCTTGTAAAGCATGTGTTAAAGACACCGGGAGACATATTTTATGGGTTTCCTTTAATAAGCATACAATAGTTGAGATTCCTAGAAGGAGTGGAAATAAATGGCATGTTCCTTTCTGCAAAAGAGATCTATAGCCCTGTTTTAAAATCATAAAAAAAAAAATAAAAATCCCTGGTTTTGTTCTTTGCTTCTAATAAAATCTGTCCCAGTGGCCTTCTGTACCCGGTCACCGTGGCATCGCTTGCCCACAAAGTGACAGGTCGAGGTCCATGCCGAAGCTGGGATTGCTTGGCAAAGAGCTGGACCTTGTCAGAGTGGACACCTCTGCCATCCCTGTGAGGCTGCTTGTGCCCCCAGCCTCCCTGGGACCACAGAAGACAGTTTCCTGTTGCTGCTTGGTCTTCATCATGTGTTGTCTGTGACTTCTCATGGAGCACAGCCTGGTGTGTCAAGGTGACCTTCTACATCCTGGCCTTCAGATCTCCTAGCCTCTGTTTCCCTGCAACTGCTGGTGGCTCTCACCCAACTCCTGGTGATGGGGGCAAGCGATGGAGCTGGTGAGCAGGCTGCAGCCCTCGGTTTTGGTTTGGTTTTTTTTTAATGAAAAAGGAATTCGATGTACTGAGTTTTAATTTTCCTGAAAAATTGATTTACGCTTGAGATACTTTGCAGCAAAACAAGAATCCAAAGTCAGGCATTTTCATCTCAAGGAGTGTTTGGAAGCCGCTCTATTTAGTCCTCTGCATCATGGGAGCAAAGTCTCACCCTCTTTTCACCAGTGAAGGAAATTTGCAGAATTCAGTAAAATTATTCGGGATATGTGTTAGAGTAACCCAGATTATCACCTGGCCCTGCAAGATATGTATTTGTGAGGCAGAGTAGTCTTTTGGGTGAAGGTTTCCTGACTTTTACCAGCAGGGTGTTGCCTGCCAGCGGTACCCACGCTGTGCATCCCGGGAAGGGAGAGCATCTCCTGGGGGGCGCATCCGGGTGGGATTGCTCTCCCTGTTACTCAGCAAATTGGGCTGAGACATCTGCGTTTGGGCAAGTCGTCTCTTGCTGTAAAACGCAGGTTCTCAGGACATCCGGAGCGATGGAGCGTACGGGGAGCACGTGGAAAAGTGGAGCCTTTCCAGGGAGAAGCAGACGTAACGTGTACTGGATGGGGCCGTTTTCTTAGACGCTTACTGAGAAAAATAATGCCATTTGTTAGAGTTTAGGGGCTTCTTGTAAAGCATGTGTTAAAGACACCGGGAGACATATTTTATGGGTTTCCTTTAATAAGCATACAATAGTTGAGATTCCTAGAAGGAGTGGAAATAAATGGCATGTTCCTTTCTGCAAAAGAGATCTATAGCCCTGTTTTAAAATCATAAAAAAAAAAATAAAAATCCCTGGT